GGAAGAAGCGTAAGATTTCCAAAACATCTGAACGATTATTGCACGTGACATGCTAGTGGACATTTTATACCGTCTCGATTTTCCTTTGTTATATGTGTAATTCGAAAAAAATCAATTTTAATATGCTTATATATTTATATTTAAAAAAAAACAAAACGTATTATAAAACTCTTTTTGTACGCTATAACGTGTGCATGAGTTTATTTTCCATTTTTCGCCTGCTTTGTGTTTTTACGCGCGTACGAGTATATTTCGACATGCACTTAGATATTTTTTTCTTTTCCAGGACGGCTGGAAAAAACGATGAAGTTTACGACGAACCGAAACTTTCATTGTACTTTTTCTTTTTTTACTATGCTGTACCTCGGTCCCATATAGAAAGGAAAGACGACCAGACGCTGCTAAACCTAGAAAGCTATCAGAAGAGTATTTACCAACGACAAACTCGTTGGGTTTAAACTTCCGGCTGGCCATGTCTTAGGGTCATTATTACCCTCACTAGGGGGGGGGGTGATCTGTTGTGATAAATAAATCCCCAAAATAAATAGCTCCGTAAGTTAAAGACATTGGATGCTGACCACATCAGTTTTAATGGACTCACCAAGCTGAAGGCTCTCGGTCATGCGTCCGCACCAGATCGCGAGTTGGAACGTCGTGCAATCGTTAGCCAGATTAGATCAGATGATCCTCGATATATTGATAGCCTATCAAATATATCTTCGAACCTCCTCGCTTCTGTCTTTTGATTTCATTTGGTGGATATGCTTCATATTAGGTGTCACTGGTTGAAGAGTTGTCAAACTCTGAATACCTGTGGTGTCTTCAAGAAATAAGTGAATAGTAACAGTTCAATTACGATTGTCAGATATTTGCTTTCGTAGCATCCTAATTATTTACGCAATTACAATAAGTTACAATAATGCAATGAGAAGATGAAGTCTATATATTTGCGCAATACATTTCGAACAATTTGACCACACATATACTTGTTAAGAACGTTTACATATGAAAATGAGGTCAACTAGATAGTTTAGAGGTAAACCATAACAAGCAAAATTCAAAATTCTTCGTAGTTAATAGGAAAGAGAAATTATTACCAATAACTTCCGACTGGTCTTGTCTTTCACTTAATCACGATCCACAAGTTCTAAAACTTTTGCATTAACTGTAGAATAACTTCCCAAACACATGTAAATATTGAACTAGGTTCGTAGACGTGTGCGAACCTCAGAACGACAACCGTACGAGTACTGATCTACGCCGAATTTCATATTGAAAGCCTCTTCTGTTATATAAAAAAATTAAAAAAACCTTATTACAAATCACTCTATGCGACTTTCTCAGCATACAAGCTAACTACATACATATAGTGTAGTACAGTCCTGCATCAAAATAGAGAAAACATATTGTATGACTATGGTCTACTTCGTTATTAGTACTACTCTAATAATAGACCTAATCCTAGAGTTGTAGATTTGTCGTGATGTGACCACCTAATCTATAAGATCTTACGTGGAATTCACATTATCGCCTACATTGATCCGTCCCATCGTAATCATCACCAGTATATGATGGAGGACAGATTTAGCCTGGATTTAGAACAATATAGTTAGTATGGGTAAAAAAGATAGGTTACACAAAAATGACAACGCCTGGAAGGCTGAGCCATGCCATCTTATTTGTAACAACCGAACTGAACGCGGAAATAACAAACCAAAATTTATTCGATTAGACCAGACTACGTTCTTCTGTAAAGCGTACGAAGCATTCTGAGTTACTCGTATTAAATAACATCAAAACACAAACTGTGTGCTCAATTTAAGCGGTTCTAATTTAGGAAATAGAACCAGTTATAGCAAAATACAAAATACCACAAACGGTACAGCCTGTGCTATACAGTCAAAAGTTTCTTCAACACAAATTAGCGTGCTAAACAAAAAAATAAATAGCTTACATAAAAGAGTTAAGTACCTGAGAATCAATAGCATAATTTTCAACAATATTGGATCAGATATCTGCAGGGATTCCAGCAAACCTCCCAAGCAGACAGTCAAAGGTTAATAGTCACACACTGAACCACGCCGTGACCCTGAGCTTAGTCTAACACGACATTACTGTTGATAGTCCGGCAACATGCAATGGAAAACTAAGCAACAAAAGGTAAGTTTTCAGTCAAAATCACACAATAAAAGCTCAGACACGGAAGACTGAAGAATACAAAGTGTGGTCAAAAGAGATCTGAATGTAATATATGGTAAGAGAATGAAAACATAACAAAAAGTCCATAGAAATTGGGAGACGTAAATGTCTGAATTGAGAATAGAATAATGTAAAAACAATCGTAAATGAACCAAGAAAATGTAACTATCATAGCGTTTACGCTAGACAGAGGTTAAAGAACCTCGTTTGGATAAATAGGTCTTATCTTCTATGGCTTTCATTGTGCAGAAGAGCAGCAGTCTTGAGCAGTCCTTTAGATTTTTCAAGAATTGCCTCAAGTTTCATAAGTCAGTGATGGCTAATTTTAACGTTAACCGGTTACTAAATTCTCGATAATTCGGTGATTTGTGTTTCGAATAAGGTGGTCAATACGGTTATAGACAAAAAGTGTCCTCGAGAAAGGTCCTGCCAACTAAAACCTTTGATTCGATTTACATTAAATAATTACCTCCGCAATGAAGTAGAATATGTCAATCCTGAACTTCGGTCAAGGGAGTTCAGTTAGCTAACAGCAAAGTGAGTGAACGATAGTAAAGGTTTGTAACGTCTCTTTCAGCTTTATTAAATATATACGCCTGGAGAACAATAATTATTGTCAGTAATCATCAACGCTCAGCTGATTAAGTCAATCCGCTTTTTTGAGCTCTATTCTTACTGTGATCTTTGTAGTATTGATCTTTCGTTACTACTCCATACCAAGTTCTGGGTCTAATGCTACAAGTCATAAAATTAAATGATCCGAAAATAAGACCGTCAATGCAACTGTAGAGTCGAAATCGTTCATTGAGTTCTTTCATGTCATAACCCCGTCTTCCTGACCATATACATTCGTTATAGCTTAATCCGTTCATGACAAAACTTAGCGACTATTTTATGTGTCTCGCTTATCCCATGTAACCCTCAACTTCGGAAAACAACTTTTCTCTGCAAGTGATTATTGCTTGAGAATACTGTTACTGAAGTTATTGTCCGTGACCGCTTGCTCATCTTTGGATCCTGAGGTTGGCAGAAAGGTTGCATAGATTATATTCCGAATAATGTATTAGTCGTCAGTGAAGCAATGGCGACAGAAGATTTATAGTAGAAACTTCAAAAATAACAGGAACATGTAAAACAATGGATATATTCTAGTTTACTTGTAACGCTTTTCAACTAATGAAATATGCATAGATCTATCTTTAGTCAGAAGAAATCAAACAATATTATGTGGATTTAACTTCGTAGACTTCACCTTCCCTATCCTTTTAAATAATCTAACGCGTAAAGCGAATTACATTATTCGTCTATATATTTATTATTACAGTCAATCATTTGTGATTACTTAAAAATTAAGACATATGGCTAATACGAATCTCTGGTTTCAAATATAATATATCGTGAGAGGGGGGGTAGGGAGTACTTGATCTTCAGAAACTTTCCTAAACGTGCGACACCGACTGGTCATCAACTGTAGTTTGCTTGAGTTTCAGTTCGATACTTGCCATTCGATTAAGTCTCCACATGGTTGCATGACACACTGAAGGTCAGGAAATTTTGATGTACTCAATGAGTTAGACGACAAGTTTGGCTACAAGTTGGTAGCCAGTCAGTTGAAATCTGATATTAATAAGTTGTTATAACCAGTCAGGCTCGTAAACTAGATAAGATTGGATGGTGCTAAATGGTTGGTCTTCAACTTCATGACAAATTTATTGCTGAAGTGGCAGTTCCCCGTAAGCTTCGGCTTTATTTCACTGGCCTGAGAGATGCTGTATATAACAGTGAACCAGACGATGTTTACATCGGAATAAGTAAAGTACGATATCTCGATGACCGAGGAAGTAAAAGCTGAGGGTTGGGAAAACAACAGATTCAAATAGAGTAGAAAGCAAATGGAGTTGGGGCTGTTTTGCCGGCTATCTAGTGGAGGAGTGGCACCTAACATGACCGGTGCATAGTTATTGACGTGATACGGATTGGGTAGTTTAAGACAGTAAGATGCGATAATGCTAATAAAACAAGCATTAATGTTTAACGTTCATAGCACTCTTTATGTCGGGGAGATATTTTGAATTACAATGTGATGGAGACTATGAGAAGGGGTAACATATATGGCACCTTCGCTTATAAGTAGGCAGTCTTATTGATGATAAGCAAATTATTTTCTACCATAGACAGTCTAAATTCAAAACGTTGAGAGAAATCTGATTTTTACTCATTACTACGAGTGGAGCATTAGCCGAACCACTCGTATACTTAGCCACATATACCACGAAATGTCACATGAGATAGATACAGTTTACTTGAGACACATGGGAAACGGACAAAACGTCGTGTTATTTTTATTACTCGGATTCTGATGTTCAGGCCTTAACACAGACGCGTATAAGTTTGGGGTGGGTATAATCCTGTTGACGATTTCAAGATTAGCACTTCCCACAAGTACACGGAATGATCGAGAAAAAAGGCAAGGAAAACTGAGACGAAATGTAGTATGAATATATATATATATTCCAATTTGAAAATAATTTCATGTGAACATGATATTATTGTCCATCTTACTTTATGAATTGGTTTAATTAATAGAAGAAACGTTGTCGGAAAAATGCAGTCGTACAGAAAAGGTGACTTTGTAAGTCACGTGCTAACTTTTCAATGTTTTCCGGAAGGTAGTTTTAATCAACTGTCTTTGTTTAAATACACGGGGATTACTTAAAGCGCCTAGGCTGTCAACTGCCTAATTTGTTCTGAAGGTATATATCTGTAAATATTTCCTAAATTATATTGTGTAAACGCTCAAATAGTATTGAATATTACTGCTCCGTATGTGATGAACTATCTCAACGTAAAATTGACCTCTAGGATTCGTTGGGGAAATTTGATGCCGGACTCAATGAAGTCATCTGGTTTACATTAGTTCATCCGAATGATCTAGCATACAGGCATGTTCTCTACACAAAAAACGTTGTATATGTTAAGCGTTCAGCATTGAAGGGCAAAGGGAGAATATGGCTTGAAATCGTATAAATCATCTGATCATGTGTGGTTTGATTTTAAGTTCCGTTAGATGTATAGGAAAAGCCTTTGCTGGGATATCTCACGTTTACAGAAGCTTGAGGAAATGTACCCATTTTGTTTCTACTCAATGCAGTTGCCAACTTTGGGTTCGAGTCCCTGGCCCTTTGGCCTCGTTTTTTTGTTTGGGTTCTTTGATCCTACCCAGATTTCTAACTAAAGTGGGACAGACAGTACTTAATCCTGCTTTCAAAGTGCTGAGTGCCGTCTATAAGCCATCTACTTGGCGTATTTGCGTAAGTACAGCAATTTCTGAGGTGTGTCCTTTATGTCTGTCAGCGATGTGTGAAGTCTGCGATCATATTGATTAGTGTTTTAAGGTATAGTCTGGCCCATCTTCGCGCATCCAATATCCTTATTGTGTCTATCCAATATATCAATAGTAGAACGTCTAACCATCTCAAGATTTTTAATTATTAGAGGTGGAACCGATAAATTTGCGATAAAACTACTTGATGTGGATGGTTTTAGAGTGATATTCCGAATTGATTCGTGTGTGATGTAGTTATTGTGGCGTATTATAAGAACCTAACTAATCTGGTACTATCATATTTATTTGAACCAACATGAGCGCAAAGGGTTACCAAAGTGTGTACGTGAGCGGGAGTACTGCTTGGGTGCCCGGTACGAAGCAGATCGTTCTCTTAAAAGTCAACCGGAGAGACTTAATCCTTAACAGTAAAGCAACGTTAAAAAGTGCGGTCCCACGGTAGTCGGTGATCAAGAATGGACTCATTTGACATTTGTGCCCTCAGGATCCTAAACCCTTGCTCACCATTCGTTTGGAGTCAGGGTTTTTTGACTCTGTGACACTATCAAATTACTAATCACCTAGACTGATGGATCTGATCAAGGCATGGCTAGGCATTTAAATGTAATCACCTGTAATGCACATACTTTAGTTGCGGTTGGATTGAAATTAATGTGACAAATATATTTCGTTATATATGTGGCAGTAATAAGATATATTGACGACCTTGGGCGACCTACTAGCCAATGAGGAAACGCTGCCTAGTCATAAAATGATTAATAGTAGAAAGTAACGAAATTACTGCTTTAGTCGTGATGATTTATTATTTATTTGGGCACAGGGACATTTGTACAAGGAAGCACCAAATAGATTTGCGACACGTAAATTATTCGATTTGTGTGAGAGCTGAGATACTATCCGGGTGCCCAAACTAAAGCAGGTGGTTTTCTTAATGGGGCACACTCGTAGCCTTCGACCTGAAGGTCTGATCCACAAGGCAGTGAAGTAACGTCCGGTGATGCAGTCCCATGGTAACCGGCAACCAACAATAAGCTCATACGCCATTTGCTCCTTCATGATACTGGAGTTCATGCGCACCATTGGTTTGGAATCAGGGTTTTCTAGCTCCTCTAGGTGAACTCTCCGTGTCCACCAACCCGCTTTCCGTCCTCTAAATTTCGTAAACAACCTCGCCGCGAAAAAGCAGTGAGTAGGACTTCTCTGGCGGTGGTTGTATGCACGTGGCAATGTGAGAGCATTTCGAGAAAGAGAGCGGACTCTCGGCTGTACCAGGGCATTTAGGGGCCATTCTTTGCACAGGATCCGTTTTCCCTCTTTACAATTTAAAGTCTAGTACAAAGATCAATGCCTGATTACCGAGCTGTAATAACACAATCATCATCTATCGTACCAGGGCATTTGGGGTCAAATTATCGCTTTTAGCAAAGAGAAAAAAGGAGTTTACGTATATACACACATACTGATAGTCAGGCTGGCGTTGCTAGTTATCACCTCATAGTTTTCGTCGCTAATTGACACTTATAATCAAAGTGTTTGGGTTGGGTATTGAGAGGTAAACTGGAGTTTTGAATTGGATTTATAAATTGGGGTCAGTGTTTTCAACAAGGACTGTTGTCATCTGTAATGCAGTACATTGCCGCCTTTCTGTTTACAAACCTGAAATACTTAGGGTTAAGATTTAGTGACAAATTTAATTCATGAATCTCATTATGCACTTCAACACACAGTCTACCTTAGAAGCAGGTGTTTCACGTAATTTAGCGTAAGCACCATCTGAAAGCCACTTTATTGTTATATAATATATATTTTCAGTGATCCCAAACGTTTTATGAATAAAATATTGCCGATTTTTACTTGCCTAGTAATAACACGCTAACTATCGCTGCACTTCAAAAAATAATTGAGACGTTAACTTAATCCTAGTGGGTTCATTCAAAGTCGTTAGTATACTACACTTTTACCATAAATGTTTAAAAATGTATCCATGAAGCTGGTTAGAGTCATGTGCTATGAAGCTAATGTTAGAATAGAGGTAAACTATATCTTAAGATTATGAAAACCTTGTCTTTTCTGTATTCCAGTATCCTTTGAATTTTAATAATTTGTCTTCAGTATTAAAGTGCTAAACTGAGTAACCAACATCCTATTCATTTACGTGTTTTAATCCAAATTTGCAGAACTAGACTAAACCTATTTTGTGCATTGTTCCCTGCCTGTGATTAGTCGAATTGTCAATATCAAGGTGAATATAACCACCAAAGTGGTCTACATTTGTCTCTTTACCTGTTTCTACTGATTGAGATTAGTTGGTTTAAAATGCCCCCGTCTTTATTAGCTTTTCAGCATTCATTATGAACATTGTTTATTTTAATGTAGAGGTTGGTTAGGAGCTGGTTGTAGTTCGGTATCTTAGAGAAGGTTCCAGTTTGCGCAATGCCAGAAACTGTTGCTGTGAAAAGCTTTAAAGGTGAGTTGCAATTATAAGTCGACGTAACATATCAGATGGGCAGCAAGAGGAACAAGAGTTGGCCTCCAAAGCTCTTCGTATACAAAATAAACGATTCTACCTAGATATCAAGCAAAATAAGAGAGGTCGCTTCGTGAAAATAACTGAAGTTGGCAATGGAGGACAGAAATCGCGCATCTTGATGTCAATGCCTGTTGCTCTGGAAATGAAAGAAAAAATTAACAAACTTAGTGACACATATAGTCAACTTCCATCTCACAATCGTGAGTCACTCGCACAAGATGGGCGCATTGCGTCTGACATTATTGTTCGTGATAGCAGGCGCTATTATCTTGATCTCAAGGAAAATGAACGTGGTCGTTTTCTGCGTCTCGCTATGCTTTCTATGGGCGTTCGTGTTCAGATTGCAATCCCAGCTCAGGGTATGATCGAATTGCGCAATGCATTGACTGATCTTATACAAGGCTATTCAGGAGATATGGAGAATGGTAAGGTTTTTTTTCTAAAACCTGATTTCTATGCTTTTTTTGTCATATGTTACGTGTGTTTACCGTGCTGATTTGCGAAAATCATATCACTTATAAAGTGCTCTCAATCACTCTATCTTTTCGTCATTTTTCCATGTTTTCATATCAATTTTTTTATCGTAAACGACATGTCTATTATTGCACAAGAGTTGAATTATCTGATATCAGTCTATAAAGACACTGACTTTTTGACTAAGCTGTATGGGTACGTTCAAACCATCTTGTTGGGGTCCGCGTTTAGAGACTGGACAACATAGCTCCAAGTCTTTCTCAATAGCACGGGTACATTCACTCCTTATCTTCCCTTAGATCCTAACTAATTTTTTTCATTCCACTGATCAATATTTTCTGAAATCGCATGTTCGATGCCTAATCCTATTACTACTAATACTGTTACTATCTCTGTAAAACGAAACAAAAGGCATGAGGAATGTATGTTTATTGTAAAAAATTACAGAGTATATACACATACGTATCCTTTAATTCTCCATTTCCATCTTTCGGTGTGTTCTGCAGTCCGAGCCGTCTTCTCGTCTTCTCTTCACGTGTTATCCTAACGCCGTGCTTTCAATCCACTAAAACTCTCCACTCTAAAAATTGCTGCAACTTTGATGCTACGTTCTGCTACACACTAACAATCATGTAGCCCCCAAATACCCTGGTACGGCCGAGAGTGGGGAGAATCAGTTCTCCCTCTTGAAATGCTCTCACATGGCCACGCGTATATAGCCTCTGCCAGGGAAGTCCTACTCACTGCCTTCTCGTGGCAAGAGTATTGCTTACGAAGTTGAGAGGACGAAAAGCGAATGCCCGACGCTTTAACCGGGTTCCAGTATTCTTAAGGAACAAATGGCGTATGAATCAATCGTTGGTCAACGGCTACCATGGGACTACATCTCCTTACGATGCTCCACTGCATTGCGGGTTAGACTTTCAGGTCGAAGGTTCCAGGTGTGACCCCGTAAGAAAACCACCTGCTTCGGTTTGGGCACCCGGACAGTATCACAGCCCTCACACATATTGAATGAGATTTGTGTGGCGCATATGTATTTGGTGCCTCCTTGTACCAATATCTATGTGTTAAAATACACAGATAAATAAACAATCCTGTGACTATATTTCTACTATGTGATTCGGCCTGATAACTTCATATCTGTGCTAATGGGATATGGTAACTTGAACCGACGTACATACGGGTTGTACGTTGCGCATGACTGACTGGATTATTTGAATGAATTGCGATCCACAACCGTGTAATCAGATTGATAATAACGACAGCAATCTTCATTATCACCTGTTACAAGTATACCCACTTCTGGCTCTGTAAACGCTTTGCTTTTACAATAAAATGCGTTTTCTGTGGATTTTATGGATATAGAATCTCACCAAGAAATTCGACGTTTTAAATTCAGTAGTGATATTCCTATAACTTGGAAAAAAAGTGGAATTGTTTGTTTTAACTCAGCCTCAACGACTTTGAAAATTTGGACAGTTCTAGACAACTTTATTTCACTGGAAGTAATCAGCTAACATAACAAACATTTTTTGTGTAAGCTACTAGTATTTGGCCACAGATTACTTAGTAATATTGCTCGCATCTACTGGGATCACCGGGTAAGTAATAGTGGGGTCAGACGCATTGTATTATGGAATGATGGTAAATCAGTTGATGATGTTGTGAATCTTCATCGACTAAGATGGTTGGGCCACGTATTACGTATGCCTGAACACCGGTTACCACGACGCGCAATGCTGACTAGTCTTGGGAATGGCTGGAAGAAAGTTAGGAGCGGCCAAATAAAAACGTAGCATCAGTGCTTGAAGTCACTAACTTCTAGTCTTAGGCATGTTGGTAGATGCAGACTACTTGGTTTGGGTCCGTGTGACTATCGTAACCAATGGCTGGGGACTGTGGGTGACATGGCTCAGAATCGATCACAGTGGCGTTGGTTTATACGCTCTCTGTCTTCCCTTAAACTAGGAGATTGCAGTCGCTTCATGTCTTTCTTTGTACGAACTAATCCTTCCTTCCTGTACTATATGCAATCTTTCTTTTATATACTACTACCATTGAATTAGCTACTTCTATGGATCCGGTGTTCGTCTTGCTGTGCTAATGAGGTAACTTGGATCGATGCATGTATGTGCCTGGTCCTACGTTGTAACTGACTGACTGTCGTTAATCTTGGCACATAGTTTGCGGCTCATTTTCAATGATTTTTTCGTTGTTGAACAACATCGTATCGCTCAAGTTCTCTACCCAAATGCTAAATGATATCCACGCCATTTTTGTTAATATAGGGTTCCTTTTTAATTAAAGTAGTTATTATCAGTTCGGGTTTTTCTTTTATGTTCGTAATAGTCGTCTATCTAGTGTGTTTGTTATTGCACACCACATTCCTGCTAAATATGAGGCTCGTTTCCATACTACTTCGTAATGAGAATGGCAGTTTATTATTGTATAGTTTTAAAAGACAATTTTTATATACCACTTTCACTATCAAGGATAGTAGTACATCTCTTGTTTTATTAATGCTAAATATCCACCATTTAAACAATATGAATTCGAGAAATTTAATATCGTAAACTGCCTTTTTTTCTTACAGATATATTTTCAGACTTACCTGAATCTAAAGTACTCTTCGTAGGCAACAAGACATTTTATTTCGATGTTGGTTCTAATAGATTTGGTGTATTTCTGCGTATATCCGAAGTTCGTGCTAACATTCGTTCCTCAGTCACCATACCTGAACAGCATTGTACGCGATTTTGTGATATTATTACTGAGTTGGCAAACAAAATGTCCAATCAAAAGCTAACTAACGGAGTGTCTGAGAATGGAAACAATTCTGACCAACCAGAAGAAAAAGCTGAAGATGATGTAAAAGAAGATACGAATGGGGATTCGCCGGTCGCATCTTAATGCGTTTTCTATGATCTCAGAAATGTTGTATGGCATTTATTGTGATGGGGGCTACTGGTGTTTATTATTCGTTTTACTTACAAATGTCCTATTTTATCTCCCTCTTATGGACATCCAATTAGGCTGGACTGTTTTATGTAATAATTGTTTTGTTTTTTATGTAACTTAGTTTGTTTTTTTAGGTATACGCACATTAGTTTGCATTTCTTTAATTTGTTTTTATGCGCATGTGCTTAATAGTCATGTGTATTATTATTTATATTTGTGTGACTTGTCCTTCTCCATATTATACATAATATGAATATTCATCCAATTAGGCTGGACCGTTTTATATAATAATTGTTTTATTTTTTATGTAAATTAGTTTGCATTTCTTTAATTTGTTTTTATGCGCATGCGCTTAATAGTCATGTGTATTATTATTTATATTTGTGTGACTTGTCCTCCATATTATACATAATATGAATATTCATTTTTTCTGCAGCTTTTATGTGACTTTAATATATATAATATAATTTATCGTGTTAGTTTTCTTATACTGATTTTTCTCGAGTCTGGCTGTTTTGGAACGTGAGTGGTTAGGAATAAAGTTTGACTACACGGGTAACAATATTACCTTACGGACATCCGGTTGAGCTTAAATCTGTCTTATTATTCCTCATGAGACTAAACTTCTTTTAAGCACTAGGTCCTTGCATAACCTCTGTTGACTAAAGTTAACCTACACTTCTTGCACAACGTTTTAACTATACTGGTCGACGCATTTTAAATATTTAAGCTGTAACCAACATGCATAACATAGTGGTGACTAGTCCCATCGGTTAAAAACAACATAGCACCTGGCATAATACAAAGGTAGCTTGTCTTGGTTATTGTGGTACAGTAGTTGTAGATTTATACCATTGGAGCAACTGCTTCTATGAATTTGGTATTTAGCCTGTCGTGCTAGTGGGGTATGGCGACTTGAATTGATGCATGTACGCGCATAGTCCTACGTTGCAGATGACTGACATTATGCTGGAGGATGACGTTATGGAGAACAACTGTGCTCAAGTTTTCTGTTTCTGAATTAATTCCTATTTTACAACACTTCAGTTTATCTTTATCGCTTGTTGCCTGGGGCTTCGTGATTTTTTGTTATTTGTATTTACTTTATATTAGTTTGGTCTCACTTTCCATCAATTCGATCACTGTCTGTATTCATTTTAACTTGTAAATTGCAACTACATCATTTGCATCTGAGGCCATAAATTAAACCACATGTTTCTGTAAATCCGTCATAACTTGCGTAATTTAGGTGAGTTGCAATCCTGTCAATAGTCGTTTTTATCTCAAATGTTAGTCAGTTGTATTGCAAGTCTTCGCTGTAGTGGTCATCAAACACATACTTGCATGTGTTTCCAACCACAACCTGCGTCGACTGAACTGCTTTTCTTCTTATTGATTTAAACACAAGTGTGTTGTCTGCGGATGAGCTGACTGATTTGTGTCAGTTTTCCGTGTCTGTGCGACTGAACACTCCGGTACTTTGAAAATAGTTGCCTTATTTCTAAAGCGCGTATTCAATGCCCAAGGTGAAGTGCAAGTAGGCGAGCGCAATATTAGTGTATAACTGAGTTATAGCGTATGAGAATCAGTCTCCTGGGGTTTCTCACTGACTTTTCTGATAGGTTCTTTGGTTATAGCCCTACTAATGTTTATTCAGTGACTTCATCAAGTGAGTGATGATCGGACGCCTCATAAGCCAGTTATCTACTCTAAAATACATCATTTTAATAGACAGTCTTTGATGAACACTACTTATTGATGTTTTAGAGTTGCTAGTTACCAACTTATTAAGAACTATATAATGGGAGAAGTCGAGTTATCCACTCCCCACATTTGCAATAAGTACAGACAGAACGGTAACTCGTATTATCCGGGTGTTCTTTGGACTGCAATACTTCATTCGCACTAATCAATATCTAAGCGAATGAGCTCGTTAGAAATTTATCAAACGGGAGGGATATCCTTTACAGGATTTACTTCGATGACAGGTGACTACGGAATCCCCAGAGACAATTTTCTTTTGCAGATCCAAGCAACCCCTCAAATAATGACTTCACGACTAATAGATTTCTTCCTGAACGCAGTACCTCTGTGTTCTCGTAGACTACCAATACTACTTTAGGCTATATGGATATTAAGCAGTATACGGCTTGATATCATATAAGAATGAGGATTGGCTCTTTATATAAATGAAGATGAACGTTAGTACACGTAATTTCCTTGGGCAAGTTGTAATTTCTTTTCGACAGGTACGCAAAGAACTAGAAATAACTGGGATAAATGCATTTGATAACATGAATGAGAAATTTCACAGATGCGTTCATAAATCTACAATTTATAGTTTAAATCACCAAGGGAAGGGTGCTTTTTCACGAAGAGCTCTCGAACCAAATTTGTTCCATTCGACTGGTGTGATCCACAAGTCATTCATCAAGTCAGAAGTAAGTAGCAACCTAGCACCAGACCAAGAGAGGTCTCCAGGTTCAGAGTGATGAATGATTTCAACTGTTGGTATGTGGCTTGATACGGTTGTTACTGCCTGTTTTTCCCGTGCTATTACAATTAGCTGCTCAGTCAACCATCTTTCCATTATTTGATTATTAACACCAGCTACCCCTCCACCAGTAAGAATAATACATCCTAACAAACGTCGACGTAGTTCGTCACTTACGGCGCTTGAACTTTGAGAAGGCTTTCCGGGTGCAAGACCAGAGGTTTGAACAATAACTTCTGACCCTACTTGAGAACCAATTAAGTTTGCACACTGATTGATACTCCACCAAACTGCCTCTGGAAGGGATTCAAAGGAGTTAGGTTTTTGTGGAAGGGGTTTGTCTACTGGAGCCACCTATAGAGAAAATATGGTGAAAATGCTCAAACTATTAAATACAAGCTCGATTGATTAAGCTTGTAAAAAAAACTATGTGAAACATATCAGTAAGTAAAACTACTTGACAGTTAATAATTTCAATAGGAAAAGTTGGTTTGGATAAAATTCATCAGTAACTGATGTCAGATCAGGAGCTAACGTTCAATGGTCTACAAAATTATGGATCCAAAGCCCATTCAATTTATTGAATTCTTAACAGTTATGGCTACAGATCCACACAGTAATCTTTGTTGATTAACATCCTATAATTGAAAGTTCGCATTTGCATTTAGATGTTTAATGGAGGAATGTTATTAAGTGGCTTTATGCAAAAATAAGTTTTAATTGTCTACTTCCTGATTTCATAGATTTACAATAAAGATATAATATTACGAAACTAACCCTTCATTTAAATTGTTTATTATAATTTTCTTGAATTTCGAGAATCACATACCAGGTTTATTTTTTTGTTATATTTCTCTTTATTTATAATTACCACTATAACATATTGATAATACTGAAGAGATGGGACTAGTTTTAAAATTCTACAACTCTAGTACGATATGGCATCTTTTGAAACGTGTAGAATGGTTTAAATATAATGGGTGATGTTGTTCTAATTAGATAACATATTGATGTTTGGATATCCAAAATTACATAGAAAAAACCAATCGTAGTAACGGAAATAAAACCACGTTTTACACGTTAGAAATTACATTGGCACTTTATCCTTAACCTTCCTTCTCTTTTATTTCAATTTATTTACTACATATAGATTTATTTTAGCTTCGAGCCACTCTGACTGTATTGTGGGTTAATGATACTGTCTGATAGCTCAGACCAAAGTAGATGGAGCTGAACTTTAACTCACGATCTAATGGTCGAAAGGCGAGTACTTTAATCATTATACCACTACACCACTATCAACCTTTACATTTACGTTCATAATCGCAAGTTTACCATCTTTTCAATTATATGGATTTCGTCTTTCTATACTATCATTTCGAATTATGATATAACTGAATTTGATGTAACTTTATGCAAGATCCCACATTTTTATTTGTCTGCTTCAAATGTAAATTGAGTTAAATATAAAATATTATTTTTACCTGTTCCGTAACATCTATTTCTGTTTCCAGTTGTTCATTATTAGGTAGAATAGTTGATTGATGTTCATTCGGTAAACCACGTTTACGACGTTCACGTGCTGTCAAAGATATATACATATCATCAAAAGGATCATCCGGTTCTGATGATTGTAGTGAAGGTACTTGATATGTACAATAGATTTCTTTTGGTGGAACACATGAAGAAATACAAGCAAATGGAAGTATATGTGATAATAGAATTGTAGACGGATGAAGAGATGAAATATCATATTGATTTTGTTTATGTGTCCATTGAAGTGTTATATTATAACAATCATTATTTAATAACGATTCGTTAGCTTTCGATTGGATTTCTTGATCGAGCTTATTTTTCTCGTTTTCTTGACATAGTAAACTTATTGTACATTGGACCGAATTCTCCATAAGTGTGCGTAAATCTTCCACGTCAGAAAGATATTCATATTTTAAATCCCTAAACCAAATCAGTTTTAAGTTTGTGTATGTACAAATAAACAAGTTACACACGATCGTGAAATCACATATGACACGATATAAAACATTACAGATTACATAATGGCAATAATATTATAGACCACACATGGCCTAAGACATACGTACTGGTGTAAACCAACTTAGCTCACATCAGTACAGTGGATTAAAAAGATGGAAAGCAAAGGAATCGCAATAATAAGACTAATGTTAGTATATTTGGATAATCAGAAAATATAATCCAGAAAAAACCTTATTGAAGGATGAGATGGCACTAAGCTCAAGATAGAAGGGGGAAGGCAAAGAATGAATACAACTGCATATCACTTGACTTAGATTTTCCAACTACCTTTTAAAATTAATAGGCTACAACTACGAAGTTTAAATTTCCTATCCGACTAGTCCATATTTCCTCAAATCATGTATTTGACACCTGACCTTTTTGCTACCACTAATATTCCTACTGCCTCCACTATTCTGGGATTTACACTAACAACATCTTCCTGTGCAAATGGCGTGTCAATTTGAACCGATGTGCACACGCGCCAGTATCTACGTTACGTATGACTGACTGACTTCAAGTACATTATGCCGTTTCTTGGTTAAACTACCATACAACTGTTTTTAAACACTTATGGTAACAAGCATATAACATTGAGATAGATGACTGAGCATGTATAACATGTTTTAATTGCCTTATTCAATGAGTTTATAGAATTATTAATCGGTTGACTACTTCTGCCTAGTAAGTTATGCTTCACGTCTACACTAATACTCTGTGATCCGATTATGCAACTGGAACTAACAATGTTCCAAAACGAATTTGCGCTAGAAGGGTGGGAGAAATCTACAACGTCACTTTGTTCCTAGGATATCATTGACGGGTATCTTGAGGAAAAATAGCACAATGAGTGATAAACTCATCCTTCGTTTGAAACACTGAAATGATTTTGTACAAAGTTTTTAATATCCTAATGCGCCTATTAATGGTAGATAATCTCAGAAGACAAT